CCTCAATAAAAAAATATATAATATAAAAAAATTAAAAGATAAAAGCTGCAGAAGAGGTAAAAGTGAAGTAATTACATGAGGTGCAAGGTATGGGGTGGTCTGGATAATCCCACTACTACAAGAAGGGGCTTAGTTTGTTAACCTGCTGTTTGGGTAGAACCATTGCAGATGCAGCAACCAATTCTGTGCCCAGCCCAGAATCTCTGACCATGAACCATAGTCCTGCGTTATACAGAATATCTCACGTTGGTAGGGTAAGTGTCAAAACACGCAGAGAGATTATGGCAAGTAAATCAAATCCATGACATCAGTAATCGTGCTGAATTGAGGAATAAGTTTCTGATCATTGTGATATTTGTTATTTAACATATTTGAAATAGTTCAGATAACTCAATTAAAGGATTAGAGGACCTGATACTTTGAATTTAATTTAAAATGCTTAAAGGAATTTGAAATTAGATCTGTGGTTTTAATTTTAAAATGCTAAGAAAATTTAATTAAGTTTGTAAACAATATTTAAAAGATTTTGATTGATTAAATCTATGAGTTTAGACTTGGATATGTTAGTATTTGAATGCTTAGGAAGATTTCATCAGACTATAGGTCTTTCATATTAGCTATTGAAAGTGTTTGTGCAAATCAAACAGATTAAATATGTGTTTTTCCTTGAAAATGCCTACAGAAACTAGATTAAGTACGTGAGCAATGTTTAGGGTTTAACCCATTACGTTTTGAATTAATCAAGCATCAATCAAGAATTAAGCAAAATAAGTGTTCAAATTTATATACAAAACCAATCGCTTTGTAGTTAAGACAAGATCTGTAAACTGATCTTAAAGACACAAGACAAATTAGACTTTTAGATGTACAGCTTTAATAACTAAGATATTATTTAAAGCACTAGGAACTGTAAGAAACACAGTGCACAAAAGCCCCAGTCAGACGTCAAAACCCGGACAGCGTCCGTTCATGTCAGCCCAAGACGAGAAAGTCTGAGCACCTGGCCCTGAGACACGAGGGACTTATCACACACTGTAAAGCAGAGTTTATTCTTCACCCCTCTGTGCTGATGGGGATGGGGAGGTATAGCAATGAGGTGAGGAGTTGTGCCTGGAGACTCATCCCTTAGCTGGGAGCAAAGATGGAAGAGGGCCCAGATGACTGGGGTGCTTAGCTGGCATAGTACAGACAGCTGAATCTCAGCTCCAGGGGTTACATCCAAAGACATGGGTAGAAGAGCCAGTGATGGGCAGATGAGGCTCCTGCTAGTCTGCGAGTGAAGTTGTAAGGGAATTCTGTTGAGTCCCTGCAGATTACTATTTTTTTTAAATTTAGTTTTAAACTTACATACAGTAAAATGTACTCTTTTTGGTGTATGATTTTGACAGTCAAGTATACAACCATCGCCACATTTAGGATACAGAACAGTTCCATCAGCCCCCAATTCCCTCATGCTATCCCTTTATAGTCAACACCCCCACCCTCCAAACTTGACCCCTGACAACCATGGGTCTGCCCTCCATTTCCCCAGCTTTGCCTTTTCCAGAATATCATTAAATAGAATTACCCAGCCTTTAAGTCTGGCTTCTTCACTTAGCACGCTTTTGACATGCACATTATTTTAAATGCCTGTAGAATATTCTGCAAAGGATTGATCATCCATTCCACCACCCAGCCCCCTCTGGACAAGGATATTTTAAAATATTTGTCAGCTCTCGGCATGCTTACTTTTGAAGGCTTCCCTACAGCATTTCAAACATTAAAAGGCAGCCATTTTTCATTGAAGGTAATTTTTTTTCTTGTAACTTTTTGAGGAAAAGAACTTTGGAATTGCTTTTGAAATTATTTGATTATTTTGTGATTGTCTATGACTCTTCACTAATTATCATGAGAAAAATATTTTTAAAAGTAAACACTGGAAGTGTCTGAGAGATCAGATTGCTGTCAGAAAAAGTTCATGTGATCTGTATGTATTAAACATAGTAATATTGCATTTTAAAAGAACTGTCTGAAGAGAGCAGACATGGCCCATCAAGGACATGACGAACATGGTCACAGTAAAATGAAACTTCCAGATTATAAACAATGCAAGATAGAAGGGACATCATTAAAAATTGTCCAGGAGAAGCTGGCTGCACAAGGGTTAAGGGACCTATGGGGCCGCAGAGCAGCTTGGAGATACATGGGTGGCTTTGCAAATAATGTTTCCTTTGTTGGTGCAACATTAAAAGGATTCAAATGGGGATTTGCTGCATGTGTGGTAGCTACAGAAGCTGAATATTACCTGGAGTCCCAGAAAAAAAGATTAGCAGCATCACTGAAGATAATACCTGGAAGTATCTTTTAAAATGGTTTCTTAACTCTTATAAATTATAAGGAGATTTCTTCACTGTAGCCAACTGGTCTGTGTGTTTGTCCTTTAAAGAATACTAGTAATATTTAATAAAATAAGAAAACATGTTTAAAAAAAGTAAATATTGAATTCACAGTTCACAGGATTGTAGAGACATTTCATTACATTTATTAATTTTTTATTTTGCAACTTTCTTATGTTAGAGCCAACATCCTTTTTTCAAGTCTCAAACATTTCTGTAGGTCCCTGGAAAGCTCACAGACCCTGAGCACCATGCCCCAAGTTTCTTACAGAGCCCCACAAGAATTTCATAGCTGAAGGCAACACGGTGCCAACCTACACCAGTGAGAGAAGAGAATGGAAGACTGCTTTCTCTGAATCATAATAATGCCCTTCCAAAAAGAAAAAGAAAAAAGAAAAAGAAAAAAAATGGCACAATAATTCTTTCTAAGATTTTTTTTATCTCACAGACTGTGTAAAAATGTATGTGCAAATTTGTTCTTTGCAGCAATATTGGTAATAGTACTGGTAAGAGTATATCCATAAGGGATTGCTTCATCTGTGGTACATCACACAGTGGAATACTGTACAGCCATGAAAAGGGGTGAGGTAGATCTATACATGCGAACAGCAAAATTTTCCCAACTAAGTGAAAGCACAAGTCACAAAAAAGAATGTATAATCTGACTATATTTCTGTAAAATAAAAATCATTATGATTTTAAAATGTTAGTAAATGCACAGAAAAAAAAAAGGAAAGATACATGCCAAATTTAACTATGGTTACCTCCAAGGGAGGAAAAAGTTTTTTATGTATGTGTATGCAATTGAAGGGAGGTTTTCACTATTTACTTTTATGTAACATTTGAATTTACCATGAGCATATATTAATTTGGTAATCAGGAAAAGTCACTAAATATTACTTTAGACAAGCCAAACACAAGCAGGACTACTGAAAGATGTGAATTGATGTTCTGAATTTCCAAGCACATTGTGGATGAGCTTTAGACTGTTTTGGGGTTAGTGGGTTCCTTGTCCCCTTTTCTCAAGGTCAAAACAACCTAAACAAAAACTCCTCTTTCGCCTTCTTTCTACAGCCAAACACTCCCACCCAACGATAATCATTCACAAAAACCAAGATTATCTTGGAAAATAAGACTTTCCCACTGATTGAGAAGGGAAATTGGATAAAACTAGCATTCAAGTTCTACATGGTATCTAAAGAACTCCCAAGCTAACTGACTGTGCATGTGCTCTGAAGAGACTCTCCTTGTCTGGAAAGGCCTTCGAATGCCAGCGGATCAACAAGGAGATAATATACTATGTAGATTAACACTCATGTATGAAGCACCATGTTTATGAGTTTTGGGGATGTGCTCATTAAAACATGGTACTGAGATGCTGTCTCAGAGATGTGGGAGACCAACAGAAGCTTACAGAGCCTTGGGTCAAAAAGGGTCTTGTGACAGAGACCACTTGAGAACACGAAGCAGGTGATGGAGCTGGAAGGTAGCAAGTCCATCCATTCAGTGTCCCACTGGCCTTACAAAGTCAGCTGGTGATGAACCTGTGGGCCCAGACTCTCTCGTGTCCAGGGCAGGCACAGTCTTGAGTTCCCACATCTGAGGAGCTGCTTGGATATGACAGGAGCTGGTCCAAGGGACACTGTGATGCTGAGGTGGCCCTGAGAGGCCTCTGCTTTCCCCCCATAATTGCTTCAAAAATTGTGAGTGTCCACACGGGTTCCCATGGTCACTTGTTCAGGACAAGCAGCAGAGAAGACAGGAGAAGGGATGTTCTGTGGAACAAGTGGCTTGGCTTTTGTGGAGAACTAGCTGGTGTCTCATCCAGCCGCCTGGGTGCCGCAGTCTGCCCACCACTTCTGCTCCCTACAGGTGGTGGGAGGACGCAGGCTTCAGCCAGAGACAAGGCTGGCAGCCACCAGGTTGTTGCTTTCACCTCCCTGGGGCACAGCTGTCCTGGGAGAGGAGGGCTGAGGGAGCCAGGGAGCTCATTTGTAAAACGGGTTTCATTTTCTCACTTAACAGACACATCTGGTGCTTCCACTCCACCCTCTCTTCACATTTGAGGGGCCTCTTCTCCTCCCAGTTTAGGGAGCTTCAGGATGCTCTGAACCGGAGGCCCCGACCCCTTCCCTGCCTTGGGGCAGCAGACTCCACCTGCCTCCAAGGTGAGATGCTTTTTCAGAAGGGGGCAGGGGGTGAGGGGGAAGGATTAAAAGGTGGAATAAAATATGGCGACACTTGCAAAGGGAAAGCAAACAAGGGGCTAAGGCAACTTCCTGAGTTCACTAGAGGTGATCTTTACCTACAGTCTAAATGGTTGGGAGACCCACCTGCTTTGGAAGGAGGGGCTCAGGGAGACCTGTGTTCAAGGCAAGTCCTGGCTTTCCTGGCTCACCAAGTCTACTTGAATGATCTGTGGTCCCCCATTGCCAGCTCTGCTTCACGTACCTCTTCAACATCTTGTCTCTGTAAAGAGCATCCTTGAAACCGCCCTCATCACCGCTGGGAAGCGCCCTCTTTCCTCTGGCTAGAACCTGGCATAAACGCTTTTCTATCTCACTCAGTCCTGGCGGCCATCGGTCTCAGTTAGTGGCCCCTTCCACACTGAAAACTCTCCATACATTTCTTTTAAAACCTTTTATTCAATAATATATACTTTTAAAATTATAATATGTAACCGCCCTTCATGCCACATACGCCCCGTGCCCCCACTGTGGAGTCTGTGGTCGGCTAGTTAACGTGGTCTGCTGGAAAACAGGTGGCCACGGGATGAGCCAGGGGCGAGGAGGGAGCAACAGTAACCAACAACCATTTTGCATACCCTTCACATTTCCCATGCTTTCTGGGTCAGGAGGAAGTCAACAGGAAGCCAAAGGCGTGTGAACCTTTTACATTCGGAAGTGAGGTTTGATATACGGTGGCGGGCTGCCCTTCGGTTGGTCTAGTTCGTGCTTGCCAAACCTGCCACCATTTTGTGTCTGCTCACGGAACGTGATCTCTCTACACACGTTAAGACGTTTGATTTGGTTCTTGTTCTGCTTATGGAAAAGTGGGAGGAACCGCAACAGACCTGGGGAGAGATGGGAGGAGGGGAAAGACGGCATTAATCAATCTGACTGGGAGTGAGGACAGGTCTCCACTGGCTGGTGGCTCCCTTCTCCAGGGGAGTGCTGGGAATAGTATGCAAGCCCAACTTGCCCATGGCAGTTTGTGGGAAATCAGGTAAGAACTGATTTTATGATTTCAGGTTTCAAGTAGTACCCTTTTCCTTCCTCTTCTGATCACCACTAACGGGCAGTCTTTGTCCCAGCCTTGCTGTGACCCACTCCCTCCCTTTCTCTCAGTCCAGGAAGCTGATCTAGAAGCTCCATAGTCTCCTGACCATTCTGTGCAAGCCAAGCTACCAAGTTCAGCAGATCCGCATGACCTGATTTACAGAGGACACCTTGGGACCAAGACTCAGATGACTGTTTTTACACAGGGTAAGTGTCCAGTCCAAGAGAGCTCAAGTATTTTTAACTCTTCCCTGGAAGTGGCTGTCTGGCTTGGCCTGAAAACCTCATTTCTCCTTCCATGCCCAGCACAGCAGAGTGGGTGGTGAGATGCCAGAATTCTAGAAGCAGCATCTCAGGATGGTACTAGAGCATTGGCAGAAGGGACTATGCACCCGGGAAACTGTCACACAGAAACACTTCATGACTCAAAGTTCCTTTGGGCAAAGGGTTCTACTGCTTAGTACCTGAGAAAGGCTGCATGGTGCATATGGTTAAGAAAGAAATGACTCTTCAGCAGATGATTTTCAAGCTTTCAACTCCACAGAGGGATCAGTGAGAAACAAGCACACTAGTGAAAGACACCACCATCTGCCAAACAACAGCATGTGCCTACTTGCGTTGCAAGGAATGGAGCTGGGGAGAGGTTTTCATAAATGCAGACACCCTGCTACAGTGTTTAAAGTCATGCAATGAAATGGTCAGCCCCCAGCAGCAGGTTCTGAGTGGTGTAACTCAGAAGCAAGAAACAGAACAATCCCCACCACACCACCCTAGTCCCGCCTCTTGCTAAAGGAAAGTCATCACACCAAGGTAATTAACTGCAACCACCCACCCACCCACCCACCCACATCTTTGCAGTTCAAAGTTTATCCCTCCTCTCCCCCAAGACACAGGAAATACAAGTTTAAGGTCCTTATGGCAGTGGCTTGTCTCCCACTTGGGAAGGCTGGTGATTATCAACATTTTTATTTATGAAAACAGAATTTAACATAGCATTTTTCTTTCCTCTAAGGGCAGCAGCACATAAATCATACATCAGTCATCCAGTGATACAAAGAGGTGGCCAATTGAGTCTGAAGTAGTCATTAGTAAAAGATCACAACCCAGGCAGTGTTGCTTTTCTGCAAACAGAAGGAAATGGCTCCATGGTTCTCGAAGATTTATCCAAGCTTTCCACTGGGTGTAAGATTTCTGTCCCAACCTCTTAGTCACCATTTACAGCAAAAAAGTCAGCAAGTGAAAAACTGTTAATTTATTGATTCAATGAAAGTTTTTTTTTTTAAACAATCCCCAATACATGCAGTTCAGGATTAAGTATCACATTTGTAGCACATTGTTGAGTCTCTACACAAAAGTATGCGTCACCTGTATAATCCCCTCACATCACGTTCCCCAGCCTCTACAATACCTGGTTGGGGTCATTTTCATGGACACATCCATACAGCTCCAAAGTGTATGTTATTACTGGTTTTCTTAGCCAGATGTCTCCCTGCCACCTCCCCTCTCCTCATCCCCACCCTGGGGTTAGTTTTTAATGGCAAGATACTAGTCTTAGATTAATTAATAAGCTTACTGACAGATTTGGCTTTTTGTGTGCTCACATAGACCCTGCTTTTGTTTTCAGGCTTATGTCTTAATGACCTTGACTCTGATCAGTTACTATCCACTCCTATTAATTTGCAGGAGGGAAGTTTGCTTTTTCTTGTGAGTGCTCATGCAGTAACACAGGTTTCTAAACAAATCATTAATCTGAACTGGCATTAAAGGAAACTGTCAACGGGGCTCTCTCAGATCCATTTCAATGCATATATAAAAATTCTTCCAATTGTTTGTGTCCCCAAATAATTTTGCGTCCATCCTCATCATAGCAGCACCTGGGAGAAGCTAAGTCATTTCCCTGAGTAGGCGCAGACTGAGGCCCACGGCTGCCAGCTCTCTCCGGGACTCAGCATTTGCCTCGAGAGCACCACCTTGCAGCCCCACTGGGACCAATCCTGGGGCAGTGCCCATCTCAGGGCACATCAGAGAACTTCAACTTTGTGCCCCCTAGCTTTCTCCTCTCAAGAAGTCCTGTTCCCTCCTCAAGATCTACTTTTTGACTGTTTTTACTGGTTCCCTTTCTTCTTTTAACACCCTTCTCTCCCATCCTCTCTCCCAGCGCCCAAGGATTACAAGCTCTTTTGTCTCCTGTAATCAATCAGTTGGAGAGTACTATACTTCTCTGCGAGGGAATACATATGCTTTGAGCCTTGTTAGTACCGACATGTTAGAGAAATGCCTGTTAGGAGACCAGTAGAGTGACTGATGTTCACGTGCCTCACAGAACTGGCAACTGGCACCCCTCTAACTAGTAAGAAGCCCCGGGAATGCTTGGTCCGCATTACACACCTGATGGCTTCTCCCACCTGGACCTACCACAGGGATAGGGCAGGACAGGAGCAGGCCAGCTGACAAGATCCTGGGGAGATTGAACTGCAAGCAAACCTGATGGAAATATTAACACTTCCTCAGTTCTACTCTCACCATGAGATTTCTCAGCTAAAGCAAAACCTTGCAGTTATGCTCACCGTGGCCAAAAAACCATGATACACCCATCTGTATTTGGCACAGGAACCTTTTGTTCTCACCATACAGGTCTATGTTCTTGAACACAGGCAGTACCTGAGATGACAGTGTAACACTACCCTGTTCCCCACATTTTTTTGCTTTTCTTTAGGAAATAGTAAGTCCTTATCATAGGCACTTTTAACCTGTTAAGGTAATGAAGCAAACAAAATGTCTAATGAAAATTACTGAGATGAATTTAAGAAATAATATGCCAACCCAAACAGATATTGGATGGGTGAATCTATCATAGCTTTGTCTAAATCTAAGACTAGATTCAGACATGCACACACACACACACACACACAGGCATACTTTCATCTGTCGTTTGGAACTCTGCAAGACCGCCTTCTAAGCCAGGTAAATACTCTAAATCTCAGGGGAGCTAGGTCCATCTGGACACAAAATGGTTTTGGTGATTGGTAGAAGAGGAAAGGTCTGGACTGGATTCAGTTCAGTTTGGGCAAGAACCACGCACAGCCAACCAGCCAGCAAGCTGAGTGTTAAGACCAGACCCAGAAGAGAGCACTTCAAACTCAGTTATGCTGTATGTCTAAGGCATGAGAGGTAAAAAGTGTAGGTGGTGGAAAAGTAAACTACATGAATAAAAAGGAAGAACTACTCCTTTGCCAAGCCGCAGTCACAGCCCAAGGACAGGCAGGCCAGCTGTGTTTGCACCTACTACATCATGACCAGAGGAGAGAGGCAGCAGTCAGTCACCTGACTCTTCTCCTCCAGATGCTTTTATTGCCTCTGGGGGACCCAAGAGAAAGAAATGGGGTTACCACTTCACCAAGACCATACAGTAGGCTAGCCTGCTTGGTCCAGACAGGAAACGTTTAAAAAAAAAAAAAAAGGTGGGGGAAGGGAATGCGTGACAAAGCAGGAGATGGGTGGGGCAGGAAAGACACACAGTCGCACATCTCCCTGATAAATAACCACCAACAGTTTGGTGTTCCCTAAAAGGGAGCAATAGAAGGCTTTTGATAATCCAAAACACTGAGTTTCACTGCCTGACGTATCAATATGGGTTCAGCCAAGAGCTCCTGTCTTGTCTGATATTCAGGTAGAACAAATGTACACATTAATACACAGAATGTGCAATGCAGGCAGGTAGCACTGGTACAAGAACCTTAACTGAATGCATTTCCTGGCTTTGGGATCTTATTTTTCATCTGTAACCTATAATAAAAGTTTTATTTGTATTTTTAGTCCCCACCGACCAAACAACAAAAATAGAATCTACATTTAGAGATAGGACCTGCTACCAATACCAGTATGATTTTATTGGAATATGGAATGTAAACAGATGTTCTCAAACAACCTCACCTTATAAAAATGTATGGCATTATTAAATAGTTGATAAAGAAATCCTAAAGTATGATGTGGTGGTAGACACCTTGACATCTAGCCTAGGTATATGAGGTCCCCACAGCTGTGGCATGGCTCTGCAGCTGGGGTCAGGGGATTGCTTGCAAACCATGTTGATGACAAGTCCCCAGAATGAAATCAGCCTATTTTTTATTTCCTTAAACAATATCTAGCTTCCTTTGCTAACATGAAGGCTAGCATAATGGATCCCAAGCTTTGATACTTGCCCCAGGAGCTCCACTCCCTTCCCCAAGCCCCTCACATGTTACTCTCTGTGGTCACTTGGGTTATCTGCTGGTCCTGCCCACACAACTCCAGTCCCTGCATGTGAGAAAGACTTATCTTTGCCAACACATTCCTGTGTTAACTACCAGAGCTTAAAAATGCAGATTACCCTGATTACAGTGGGAAACTGTTTCTCATGGGGCTAAAAAGGAACAAAGGGTGGGAAGGGAATATTTTTTTTCCACCCAATAGGCCTTTCTTGCCTAAATTCTAATAGGACTTTTTTTTCTCCCTCTCTGACTTCCTTGAAGACTGACTTTCCAGCTTTAGTTATGGTTGTGAACAGAAAGTCTTTGTTTCTGAGATGTGCATTAAAGTAAGTGCACACAAAGGGATGTGCTGGGAAATAGTGAGGTTTCCTTATAAGGCTGGGGGAAAAAAAGCTACATAAAAAAAATAGCAATAAAGTTTTACAATTAGGCAAATCAACAAAGGTTACAGTGAGCTCCAAGTTATGCACTTAGCATCCAACTTTTGATGAGACAGACGGACCTGTTCATGGCATCACAAGGTTTAAAGTGATGCCTCCTGACACATCAAAGGGGACTCTTGTGAGAATGACTGCAGTTTTTTCCCAAATGAATACACTTGGAAGAAAACTGCAGGGATGAAGGTACATTTCCTAGAGAGCTCATGTCATTAAAAAAAAATACATAAAACATGAATTTGTAAAAGAGCTTTAAAAAAAAATACTGTCACTGTTTTAGTATCTCCTTTTCATAAATGAGGCTGGTGTGTCAGAATAGACTGCTGATGCTTTGCTAAAACTTGAGCCTGAATCTCACCAAAAGAAACCCAGACCACAGTGGAATAGATAGGAAGTCAGATATTCAGAGCTTGTTGACTGAACGGGTTAATTCAACAGTGGTCTCCTGTTAAATAAAGGTAAACGTGCAACAACTCCGAGTCTCTCGTCTCCCATATGCATTCCAAAGGGAGAGGCCCCTCAGATCCTCAACTATGTGCATCGTCAGGCTACCAGAACGGCAGCTCCCTGTAGACTAGTACTGGGGAGTTTCTTTCTTTTTGACAGACTTTTAGGTCTTTACTCTTCTTTGCGTTTAGAAGGAATGGCTAGAATTTCTTTTTATCACACTGTAGTTTTCCTTCAAAGTTTGTGTTTGGTTGGTTGGTTTTATTGGCAAGCATCAATGCCGCATTACCCGTCGCTTTCCAGTCTTCATCGGGCCGCCGTGAGACCACTGGAAAGTACAGCATTATCTGCACAAGGCTGGGACTGCTCCTTCACCACGGGGTCTGTAAGAAACAGGAGGAAAGTCAGCCAGTGTAGGGGAGAACATCATGACAGACCCAACCCCGTTCCACAGTGAGATCCAGATAGGCCGCCAGGAAGTCAGGGTCAGGAGGGCAACAGAAATTACAGACACTGAGATGATCGGAGAAATGCTAGTACTGTCAACTTGTATACTTCTTCAGAGTACAAGTTCAACTGCTGAGACTCAGGGAAAAGAGGCACAGAATCACACATCTGCCACTGTGCAAAATGTCTACTAACTTCTTACGTGTTATTTTCCTTGAATATTAATATCATGTCCAACTCATGATTTCTTTAAAGCATGTTAGACAATAAACACTTTGGAGGAAAGGGTGAACAAAAGGAACCATTAGAAGACCTATCAATTAAAAAAAAAAGACCTATCAATTTTAAGCAACAGCATAAAATATTTTTATAGAAGTACAGTATATATTCAGAAAATCAGACAGATTATGATTTACATAATCAATGTACTGGAAGAATGAAGGGTAAGACCTTCTAAATTTGCTGTCTGCTAATGCTTAAGGGCCAGTAGGTTCAAGACTATTATCTTGAGAGGGGGATAAAGGAAAAGGAATGAGAGTACATTTTCATCTCACTTCTGAGAGAAACTGAGCAGGTCACTTAAACTCCCTTACGCTCGGTATCCTCTGTGACTGGACTAAATGACCTCATGTTGCCTGAAATAAGAGGAAAGTCTGAGACACGCTTTATCAGCAGGGAAAACTATATGCACACAGACAGATAAGCAACCACATAAACTGAATATATACACGTCCTGTGAAGTGAAATACCTAAGAAGTTGGTAATTCAGAGAGGATTTCAGTGAGATCTTTCCATACTTGCTTTCCTTTCCTCAAATTCTTTCTTTTTATTTAACTTATTTCCTTCTTTAAGAATACACTATGGTCATCTTATTACTTCCAACTAATCACTTATTTTTTTGAGGGGGAAAAACCTTTGATTAGGTTTCCACACAAATGTATATATTTGAAAACAAAATTTTAGATACTTGTGATCCATCAACTCAGGGTCAAGGGCAACAAACAGGCCAGACTCAAGGGAGCTACAGTGGGGAACAAGCAAACATCTTTGGCCATCAAGAAGCAGATCTGCAGAGTTCTCAACAGCCTAGAACTAATGAGACCAAATCCCAAGGACAAGTCATCCAAACACCCAGAATTATCCTGACTGTCCTCAGTGATAAAGGGTGGAAGAATTTCCCTTTGACAATCAGGCCCCAGAGACTCACAGAAGTATGGGTGCTCCATGGCCTCTTTGGCAGTCAGTCTCTGTTGATGGTCATATCGCAGAAGTTTGTCCAGAAGATCTAGGGCCTCGGGGCTGACGAGATGCCTGTTCTCACTATGGATAAAGTTCTCCCAGCGTTTCCGTGAATGTCTGACAAAAAGAGGAAAGCATTAGTGTCCTGAGGTTAAGTTAAACAAGAATCCTTACATATTAGGGCTAAAGCCAACAATGTCTTAAAACACTGTGCTGATTACAAGCTCATTAAATCTCATTCTTACCAGTACCTGCCCCACTCCCCAGTTATGATTACAGCATCCTTAAACAAAACAGTGCCGACTGATAAATAGAATTGATTACAACTTCTATATCTGATTTAGGACTTTGTGGAACCTCTCTAGATAATTTTCTAGGTAATTTCTAGATAAAGCCCCAGGCTTTTAGTCAATTCTGGGTGAGGCATGGAGATGGAAATGGTGAAAACTGTCCACACATTTACTTTTCAACACTACTGTACTGTATCTGAAAAATGTGCTTTAAAATTTGCTCCCTTATTCAAAATCCATTACACAGAACAAGAAAAAACTATAAATCTCTTATTCAAAGAAGAACCACAGCTTTCTAAGATTTTCCATTAAAATAAGCATATGCTGTCCAGAAAGCTTTTTTTCTGTTACATGATTGTCTTCCATTTTCTACTGATAAACAGGTTATTTCTTACAGAAGTAAAATGATTAGAAGACACATGTAAACAATGCCCAATTATCTCATGATAAGATAAAAAAAAATACAGATGGGAAAAAAAGAGTATTTCAATTCTGGTATGAGCAGAAAGGGGAAAGAGCTTTAAAAAGTGATTTTGGCTAACCTTTCCACTTCTGAAATGGGTAAGTTAAAACCCTTTCTTTCTCTCTCTTACTTACTGTCCCAGGATATCGTTGAAGTGCGGATCTAGGTCTATGTGATACTTCTTCAGATACCCATACAGCTCGTCTGTACCCAGAACCTTCGCAATGCGAACAAGCTGAAACACAAAACAAACTGACCAAATCACTGAGCACAGAACTCACTGCAAGCCCACGGGGATGCTGGATCAGAAATTAGGAGACTTCCACATCACTAAATCTCCAGGGACCAGATACAGATCCAAGCCTGGGGCAGACAGGCAGCAAACCACAGATAGGAAGTTTACATGAATGCAAATTTCCAAAATGCCTTTAAAATGGTAACACAACTTATGACAATAATCTTCTAGAAGCTGATGATTATGGGGGCATAAAATCTAATGACCAGAATCCTGTTTTATTAGACAAGGAGGTACCTGACTTCATAAACTCACTTTGGAAGTTGGGCATAACACAGTACTATCTGTCTCTATCTTTGGAGATTGGCTAACCACAGACAAGATTTTGTGAAATTTTTTACCCTGAAGAAAAGCTCATATGCAGACACAGAGTGATTTTTAGTGCCTCAAGGACAGCATCCCTTATCAAGATGCTATTTTCTTGGCATCTGCCCCAAAGTAGATAGGATCCAGACAGTGGTTGCTTACCTGGTCATAGTTATCCTGTCCATGAAAGAAGGGCTCCTTTCGAAAGATCATGCTCGCTAACATACAGCCCAAACTCCACATGTCCAAGCTATAATCATACATCTGAGGAAATAAAGACAACCAGTCAGTCAAGGATGTTACAAATGCCATTTTTCTGATCTGAGTTTCTAGTCTTTAGTTGACCTTTGTAGATATTTTTAAATTTAAAGTCAAAAAAAAAAAAGGCTGAGAAAAATCTGTAATTAATCATTTTGCAGTAGAATAGACTGGATTTTGAATATATCCAAATCAACTAAATAAAAATCAGGCTTTTTAAATAAAATCGCTTAAAGACTTAAACATAAGACAGGACACCATAAATCTCCTAGAAAAGAAAAAGGCAAAACATTCTCTGACATAAATCGTTGCAATGTTTTCCTAGGTCAGTCTACCAAGGCAACAGATATAAAAGCAAAAATAAACAAACAGGATCTAATTAAACTTAAAAGCTTCTGCACAGCAAACAAAAACATAACCAAAACGGAAAGACAACCTACCTACTGGGAGAAAATATTTGCAAACAATGGGACTGACAAGGGCTTAACTCCCAGAATATACAAACAGCTCATACAACTCAATAACAACAAAAAAATAGCAATCAAAAAATGGGCAGAAGACCTAAACAGACACTTCTCCAATGAAGACATACCGATGATCAATAGGCACATGAAAAAATGCTCAATATCACTAATTAGCAGAGAAATGCAAATTAAAACTACAATGAGGTTATCACTTTACACCGGTCAGAATGGCCATCATTATTAAAAAGTCCAAAAACAATAAATGCTGGAAAGGATGCAGAAAAAAGGGAATCCTCCTATTCTGTTGGTGGGAGTGTAATTTGGTGAAGCCCCAATGGAAAACAGTATGGCTATTCCTTAAAAACCTAAAAATAGTTACCATATGATCCAGCAATCCCACTCCTGGGCATATATCTGGAGAAAACTCTAATTCAAAAAAAATACATGCACCTCAATGTTCATAGCAGCACTACTAACAGCCAAAACGTGGAAGCAACCTAATGTCCATCGACAAATGACTACATAAAGAAGTTGTGGTATATATACCCAATTTACTACTCAGCCATAAAAAAGAATGAAATAATGCCATTTGCAGCAACATGGATGGACCTAGGAATGATCATACTAAGTAAGTCAGACAGAGAAAGACAAATATCATATGATGTCACCTATATTTGGAATCTAAAAAAAAAAGACACAAATGAACTTATTTACAAACCAGAAACAAGACTCACAGACTTACAGAAAACAATGGTTACCAAAGTGGGAAGGGGGGGAGGGATAAATCAGGAGTTTGGGATTAGCAGATATAAATTAATATATACAAAATAAATAACAAGGTCCTACTATAGAGCACAGGGAATTATACTCAACAGCTTATTATTACCTATAATGAAAAAGAATATGAAAAAGAAAAAAAAATACATATATAAACCTGAATCACTATGCTGTAAATCAGAAACACAACATTGTAAATCAACTATACTTCAATTAAAAAAAGAAAAAACCAAAATACCTCAGGAAAAACCAGGCAAAGCCCTAAGGAAATATAAAAAGAATCCAGAGGTGCTTCACTAGCCATCTTACCTGATAGTCCACAAGGAGCTCTGGTCCCTTGAAGTACCTCGAGGCTACGCGGACATTGTACTCCTGAGCGGGGTGATAGAACTCGGCCAGACCCCAGTCTATCAGTCGCAGCTAAAATATGACAGAAATAAAACATGTGAAAGGAGTGTTTCTTGATGCCTGTGCCTTACAACAAGGCCACGTATATTAGAAAACAATTATTTGACCATATAGAAAATGTCAGCAAGTGCACTGGCTAAAATCTATACTCGCAACTGCATAAGAGGTCATTTCTAGAGCAGAGCACTCAGAATCTTATTTGCTGCTGCTTTTTTTTTCAAATTTAAATTATCCTGGCTTACTACTCTCTCTAGATCAATAGAGCTTAAGCATTTTTTCTGCCTCCATACCAGCTTCATGTGTTAACACATCCGCCCATTACTGAGAGTTCTTACTATAAGCTCTAGTCATAATGGAAAGGGTTGGGGACATGCGCCCCACTCCTGGATTGAAGCGCTGCTCTAGCCTTCCATTAATCAAACACTAGTTGATTCATTTACTCACCAGTCAGGGACAACCAGAATTGGATACTGAAAATAGGAAGGACTCAGTGTACTTGTAAGGCCAGGCAGATTAGTCTGAGGGTCATTAAGAAAGGAAGTAAAAACCATCAACTGTAGTTTCTTTCTTGAGGCCCTCCAGAAAAACATGACCGAAGTAAACAAGTGACTACAGTTAGGGTTAGCTGTCTACTTTCCTTGTGTACTACGCTTATGTATAGTAGAAACCAACACTGGAGACTGGAGAAATACTATTATCACAAGTCTGCCAAAGAAAAGAGAATGAGTCTTCAGAAATCACCTAGTACTGGTCAGAGTTTTGACTGGCCCTAAGCCTTCCAATGAAAGGCTTGTGGCTGCCTGGCTGTAATGGTACCTTTTTCTGTTGGTGATCTATCATGACATTGTGAGGTTTCACATCCCTGTGCATGATTCCCTTGCTGTGGCAGTAATCCAGAGCCTATTAGATAAGAAAGCACAGAGAAAAGTAAGCAAACCCTCTACCACCCCCCGCAATGTAAGCATATTCTTATTTGTTTGTGACAGCTTGATTTGAATACAGTCTCCCAGGGGCAGTTTAGTGTCTGTAACAAAAGAGAAAAAAACATGTTCAGAAGGCACCCCTAGCTCTCTGAGCACATGATGCTGGCAGCTGGTAGAAAGAGGGCTATGGAGAGGACGTCAAGGGCTACGATGAAGGTTTCTTAAAAAGGGGCATGATATACTTCTTAAGGTACTCTTCTACCTGTCCCTGGTGGCAGTGTCTCAGCCACCTGGATTTAGAAATCATACATTAATCTGCAGATGCATTTAAAACCAGATCTAGGAACCTCACTGGAGTCACTTCTTATAGTTGTTCAAATAACATGTAAGGGTCCAAGTGGACATGAAGAATGACATCCAGATATATCTGTCAATGTGGCTTGTCTTTCAGGTAAGTGTCTCTGGGTTTTCTAGATTTACTTGCATTCTAATATTAGTATTTTCTTTAAAAACAATCCCTGAGCCAGCTGGCCTTTAAGAATCATGATTATGTTATTACTCGAAGAGAGAAAATTACTTTCTGTAAGATTGTTGGCAAGCAGCTAAGATTTTTAAGTTTACAAGTCAATGATTTTTTAAGTAAATTTCTCAAGTTGTGCTGCCATTACCACAATTCAGCTTTAGAACTTTTCCATTATCCCAAGAATTTCCCTTAGGCTTGCCTGCAGTCAGTCCCACTCCATCTCCCTCCTACTTCCTCCTTCCCTCCCCTCTCCTCCCAGCTACTCATCTACCACCTAATGCTACAGATTTGCCTTTTCTGAACATTCATAAAATGAAATAACACAACATATAGTACTTTATCTTCTTTCACTCAGCACAATGTTTCTAAGATTCATCCATGTTACTTTTTTCCTTGCTGAGCAGTATTTCATTGTATATATTAGCTGATAGACATTTGGGTTGTCTTAACTTTTGTCTATTATGACTAATGTTATCTATAAATGCTGCTTACAAATCTTTGAGAGGACATATTTTTTCCTTTCTTTTGGGTAAATTCCTAAGGGTGAAAGTGTTGGGTTGTATGTAAGTTTACATTAAACTTTTGAAAAATCTGCCTAATTGTTTTCCAAAGTGGCTGAACCATTTTACAATCTCGTCAACAACATATGAGGGTTCCAGTTTCTCTACATTCTCGTCAGCACTTGCTCTTGTTTATTTCTTTGATTACAGCTGTTGCAGTGGATCTGAAGAGGTATCTCATTGTGGTTTTAAACTGCATTTCTCTAATTAGTGATCAAATTAAACATCTTTTAATATGCTTTGGGGCTAGCCTTTATCTCCTTTGGACAAATGTTGATTCAAAATTTTCACCCATTTCTTATTTGGGTTAAGTCTATTTTTTGTTTTATGTAATATAAAAATTTGCTCCTAAATCTCCCTTTTCCAACACAGTAACTATTTCCATAAACTTCAATGTTGGCTGCTTTGTCTTATCTTAAAAAGTTCTTGAAGTCAACACGAGTCCCATAATATACTCCTTGAGTAATGATGCTATCAATCCACAATCTTATGGCATCTACGATGTGCTTGGCACTGAGTACTCTTGTAAGAGGGAGTTTTCTATGGGACAAGATTAGGGTTTCTCACCACTGGCACAGTTGACATTTTGGACTAGATAGTTCTTTGTTGTGGGGAGTGTTCCTGCACACTGTAGGATATTTAGCAAAACCCCTGGCCTCTACCCACGAGATGCCAGTAGCACCCCTCCAATTGTGACAACTGAAAGTGGCTCCAGACATTGCCAAAGTCCTCTGGGAGACAAAGTTAACCTGGTTGAGAATCAACGGACTAGACTAGCAAGGACACTCTACTAGGCATCTTTACATGGGAGGGAATACATAAACTAGAGGATGGTCCTAAGGACTTCATTCTAGGAACAGGCACACTTTGCCTTCCCCAGATACCATAGAGTATACCCTGTATGATGCTTTTTACATCAAGGTCAAGAACAGGCAAAACTAAACTATGATGGTAGAGGTGAGAATATAATCTATGCAAGGAGAGAAATATTCTATATCTGCACTGTCCTGTATGGTAACCATTAGCCACATGAGGCCACTGAATGCTTGAAATGTGACTAGTGTGACTAAGGAAGTGAATTTTTAATTTTTAACTTAAATAGCTACCTTTGCGTAGCAGCTACTATATTGGACAGCACAGTTTTATGTAGATGTGGATGAAGGTTTCACATTTATGTAAAATCCAGAAAACTGTACTCTTAGATCTATTCATTTCATCTATGTAGGTTCTACTTCAGTTTAATTTTTCTCTGTCTTGTTTTACACCAACACTTGTAGCAAGACTCCACAGTGGCTTTGTGACAGTACCTTAGGAAACCAGGGCTCCTGAGGACAGACCTCCCTAAATCTGAATCAGGAGCTCACACCTGGTGGGAAGCCTCAGCAAGTCACCACACAATCACTCTGACGCCCTCAGACTTAGTTTCTTCTACATTTTTAATGATGTTAAGTATTTCCTCTTCCCCAATCCTGTTTTTTTTTTTTCCTTTTCCAGGAGAAAATTTAGCAAGTGTTGATTTTATTATTTTGCCCTGTCTTAGCCCAAAGGAATAAAGTAATTAAAACCATAGTACCTGGGGTGTGAAAAATACCTGATGAAAGCAAAGGCTGAACAGATACAGTAAGGGAATTAATTCTTCTGTCAAGTTCATTAGTCAAGATGATTCCCTGTGGAATTACTGACTGCTTTTAAATTCCTTGGGGAATTATTTCATTTTTAAAAGCTGATAGTTTCTGACTATTAAGCATGAAGGAGGTTTTTCAAGTTTCATCTGGGGTTCTAAGTCTCATTAGCAGAAAGTATGCCCTTATCCCTAGCTGCTACCCCCAGAAGGCAGAGGGAACATCAGATACTGAGTGCCATCGGAATGACTAGCCTGAAGACCTGCATCACTGGGATGCTGTTACCTGATCGAAGGACAATTGCACTAGATTATAAATATTACCTTTAGTGTGCTAGCTAACCACAAAATCTTAATCTTTACTTAAAAAAAAAACCCAAACAAAAACAAAACAAAAAACCCAACCAAACCAAGTATCACTATGTCCACCCCCACAAAAACAAACAAACAAAAACAACCCTGTAAGAGATCTGGATTGCAGCTTTCATGGAGTGAATGCCTGGGGTTTTCTGAGAAGCACCTCTAGGAAAAAGGCTAGCCTGACAGTTCACAGGGCCATAGCGCTGCACACCCCTGTCCCACCGAGTCCTACAATTCTAGCCCGGAGAAGAGATGGAGAAAGATGGGATAGATCAAGCTCTACCTTCTTCATCATTTTGCTTATTGACAAAAGAAAGACCTGTGAGCCATAAGAGTGAACCCTTAAATACACCACTATGGCTCTAATGATAAGTGGTTTGTGCAAGTGCTTGTAAAAAGAACATGTTTACTTTAAAGAGCTAGTTCTACAAATCCCCATTCCCAAAAGCTTTAGCCTTAATTTAACTTGGTATTTTGTTCCAGCAACTGTTCACAATCCCATCAAAACTCCATCCTGGCAATTGTCATCAATAATGCCAATACCTTAGTCTCCTCTACATTCTTCCAGAGTTTCTTAAATTGAGATCCACATGTTTCACTCTAAAGCTTTACATAATGCTGTATGTATATTTTCATATGCATTTTTGGGGAGAGTTCATAGCTTTCATTACACTTTTGGTGATCCATGACCCTAAAAAAATTGGTCTATTCTATTTTACAAATCTTTTCAGAATTCTTAAGTGTTTACCTAGACAAAGTAAAAAAGATCTTTCCTCTATTTATCAATAATGCTTGAAAATTTCAGTCTTGGGATTAGTAAGTCTCCAAGAAGGTCCACCTATCACCTCTCCCTGCATGTTAAGGTTAACCAGCCAGGACTAAATAGGTAGGCTAAAGGGTATGTTGTCTCAACGAGACGGGGGAAGTAAAGGATGGCTGCAAAATGCCTGCCATCCTTGAATGCATGTCCTCCCATGATGTGACTTCAATGCTTTGCTCATCAAGGGGTGGAATCTACATCTCCAACCCCCTGAATCTAGGTTTGGTCATGTGGTTTGCTTTTGCCAACAAGGCATTAGCAAACATGACACAGCAGAATCTTGAAAAGTGCATACATGTCGAGGTTTCCCTCTTTTGCTGTCAGGACCCTCAAGACCACCACAGGAAGCAGCCCAGGATAACCTCCTGGAGAATGAGACCTCAGCTATTATAGCTGCCATCCTAGATATGTGAATGAGGCCATCTTGGACCATCTTGCCCCAGTCAAGTGGACTCAAACCAAAAGACTCATCCATTCAACCCACTGAATTATGAAAATTAGTAGATCATTTTAAAAAGTCATTAAGTTTGGGGGTGATCTGCTATGCAATGAAAACTAATAGTAAGTATAAAGTATAAATTAAGCAGGAAAAAAAAATCCAGCAGGAGTTATGAAGAGTGAGGTTCTAACCTCTGGTATAATGTCCCCAGTACCCCTAACTTGACCATTTTCAGTTCCACTGGAAAATTTCTATGTAAAGATCCCCTGATAGAGACCTCAATATAAGTTAAAAAACAAACAAACAAACAAAAAACACTATAAATTCTCTGGGTATGAAAAAATATTCCTGAAGTCTCTTTGTCCTCTCAAAAACTTCTCCTTTAATGAATAAGCCTGAAAAAATTCACTGTTTATGAATGTCACTTACTTTAAGTAGTTCATACATATAAAACCGGATATCAAAGTCTGTCAGGATCTGGTACAGTTGCTGAAACAGATTTTAGAAAACAAAGTTAATTTAGTCTTGTTGTATCTTGTCATCCCAAAGTTGGTCATTTTTCTCCATAAACTTAGTGCTTAAGTCACTCAGGAATCCCAGAACATTTTACTACCTGATTTGGAACAAATAGGGATAAAAACATAAGACAAGGCGCTAATACTTCAGTCTTCAGAAGAAAAAAAAACCCAAGGAATTCCAAGGGGAAAAAAAGCCATCTATACCAACTTGGATCTTTCAAAAACTCATGTAATGCTCTATGATTTCAACACCACAATTACATTATTATGAAGTCCAAGTTGTCCAACTGACCTTGTATTTTTACTGCACTTCAAACAAACTAAACCCATTGCAGCACCATGGTTTAGATAACTGACTTCTGAGTGGACAGCAGAACTTGAAAAATTTCATCAGCCCACATGGTAAAATAGTGACAAAACAGTCTGCTTATGAAACATGAAGAAAATGAACTGCTATAGCATTTGGAGATGGCAAGAGACTAAAAAAAATCTGTACCTTCCATTCCCAAAACGAACTGCAGGCTGGAAAAAAAGAACACCTCATAGGCAATAACTGATGGGAACTGAAGAAGTAAAATGTTGTAGAGGGGAAAATGTAGGTGGGATGAGATGCTTAAAAAAATAAAGAAAAGAAAATATAGAAAAGGAAGAAAGGAGGGAAGGAAAAGATACAGGTACTGAAAATGATTCAAGACCAAACTGACATACAAAAGAGAGTATTCATAATTGATAATCCAAAGACCCACCTGATGGGAGTTTTTAAATTCCAATTTCTAAGACAGACAGCAGAATTTACACATCCAGGTTCATTTAAATTATCACAAACCCTTATCAGAAACTATACTATTATTTTTGATAATCAATTGCAAGCAAATCTTTCCCCACTAGTCAAACAGCACCTTCTATAAAATTAATTTGCACACTTTTATCAAACCTATTTTGTTTCTCTCTTTATTGGAAGACTCAAGCCACGTGGGGAATCTTTCCAAGGTGCACAAAACAGCATAAACAATCTGTGTAAAAGGAGGGGAAACTTAAAACTTTACATGCATATTTGTTTGTATCTAGAAGAATGATGTAAGAGATTAATGAAAAGTGGTTTTGTGCATATATGTCTAGAGGATGGACAGTTGGACACAGGAATAAGGAGAATTTTTACTGCATACTATTTTATATTTTAGATCTATGTAAAGATATTACCTGTTCAAAAAAATTTTTTAAGGAAAAATAACAGGTTTGCCAAGAACCTAACACTTTCTAACACCAGGATTTTGCCTCTTTCTCAAAATTCCATTTACTAAGATCTGATTTCATGAATCTCAGGCAGTGCCTAGCTAAGGGCACTATAGGCAATGAAAACATACTTTCCAGTACACTGGTGGTACCTTGAGCTGCTCCACTACTGGAGGCTGACCCTGGTTGGGAAAGAATCACATTCAGGCCCAAAAGCAAACACGCCACCACTTCTGCTCAGGAGACTCAATCACCTAACAGCTAAACACCCAAGTGTTTTGTTCTCCCTCAGCTCTGAACAGCAAGAAAGGCTTCTCAGCCAGCACATGAACAGCCTGTATGGAGACACAGGCTGAAGATATCATCTCTCTGGGTGCCAAATCAGCTTTTCCTCTGACAGTTAAGGAGATCATTCCCAGAGACTGGGCCAAGTTGAACCTCAAGTCAATAAACAGGCCATGAAAGTGAAAAGGACATTTTCTAACCCCTAGAGGGCTAGAATATTTTATTTCCGAAAAATAGATATGGGCTATTTAATTATTTGGATTTCTATCTGTGGGAGGCTTTCCTGTCATATCACGTGGTATCTATACCAAGCATCCATGTGAACAGTGTAAGGCATAAAAATTGCCTTGGACTGCTAACATAGTATTTCTGGCTACTCCAACCATATCAATTTTATGTAATACAAAAAACCCTAGCTGACTATAGCTTTTAGGCCTAATACATTATAAAGACCTAAGCGACAGGCTGACATTCACTCTCACTTTTCAGGAGCTCTGGGTAGGAGACCAACTATACCTGTAACATCTGACCACTGGGGCCTGGAATTCAGGCCTCGCCAGGGTCCAGTCCAGCTTCCCCTAACTCTGTAGCTCCTTCTCCACTGCAACCCCCAGGAGATCCCCACTCTGACCAAACAAACCTGTGTGTGCCACTTCCATTCTTCCCTCTCCAAAACCTAGACTACCTGCCCCTCCCCCTTAGCATCCCATCCCATCAGGGTTCTACAGAGCTGACAGTGGTCTCTTCCCTCTCTGAGCCCCCATGCTGTTTACTGTCCTCTGGGGTGCCCACAGGACGCCAACAGCAGCAGCATGCCCAGAGTTAACATTTCTCATTCAGGTACTGGCAGTGACCTGAAGTTCTCAAGATAATGTCTCACTCCGCTGGAAACAACAAAGGGCTTCTTCACCTCGTCCACATCCTAAGAGTCCCATGCCAGCATCCTTGCGCATTGTGGCATATGCATGATGGGGAGGAACAAGTGATGTGACTGGTGGCAGTCACCAATTTGGTGATTCAAGATCTCTGAACCTTCACTCCCCCAAGTATGTCAAGGGCCCACCGTACAACCCAGTCCATATTCTAAGTCCTCACACAGCAGAACAGCCTATGTTTTATATACTCTACACCACACATGGCGTGATCCTCTGCTTGCACACAGAAGTCAACAAATATTTGTCTTTGATGATCTTCACCAGTCAATGAAACAAAATTGATACCTTTCCAAGAAACAGAAGTACTGAGTCAACAACACATTAGAAAGGGAAATTTCACAAGAACTACACTTCTCCTCCATTCTTCTTAGTTAGGTACATGGACATCATTAACCAACCAATGGCAAAACGCTGCCAGGAAGTTAGTTTTACTTACATTTTCATAAAGTAAGTGACTTACCAAAAACAAAACAAGCCTATGCTTCCCGAAGACTACAAAGGTGCTGAGGAAGAAACTATTCACCAATCCTAGTTTGGTTCCAAAGCCTCAAACATACTGGCATTTCCCTAGAAATCAGTTATACTCCAGAACTATTCAAAGAACCCAAGGTGGAAATCTCCTGAGACCTTTATTAACCTCAGAAAGTCTGGGGAGAAGAATGCAAAAAATACAATTTGATCAAGAGAACCAGGGCCTACTTGGTCTAAAACCAACATGCAGAATGGAATGGCTGCAAGGCCCCAGCCCCAATGACTGTCATTCAGGAGGGCTTCTCACTTTAAGAAGGTTCCCAGCCAGATATGGGAATTACCAACACAGCGAACTTCCACCCTGCACACACAGCTTGCACATTCCCTGACATACACAGCTTGGTCTATGTCCATAAACCCCAGTGGTCCCCGTGTAGGGAGAAGACAAAATGGGGGAAGTGTGATATAAAGTAAAAGTGAAAGGTGGCACCCATTTTGCCACTATTTACACATAACCCCAAGATTCAGAATGAGACCAAGGGAAACATTTTTAGAAATTTAAGGAAGCAGAACAAATCATTAATTAAGTACATCAAAGTTACTACAAATCACGTGAAAATGTCTTACAAAGATGACAAAATAATGTCAGTGACCAATAATAATAAAAGTAAATTTTGTTCCCCCAATTAAGGAAACTTGAGTCTGTGAACTCATCCTCTCCACATCAAACTCTAGCAACATGAACAAGACCTCAAAACATCAGGAGTTCAAGGCCTCCTCTATGAGTGATATGAAATTTTCCACAGATCAGTATAGGTCTACCGTCTTCTTAGGATGGGGCCCATTTGGGATGTCTTATCAATCTTTAAAATGCCCATATGATATATTTTACTTAAACTGTATATTCATTTTTATTTATACTGTTGCAACGGCATAGAAAACTGAGAAGCATGTCTCAGTGAAAACTCTTTCTACCTCAAAACAGTATCTGAACCTCCTTGGGATAATTTTGAGTTTGAGAGTTTTCTGTAACTATTCATCCCAACTTTTAGAAATTGGCTTTGTCTTTTGTTCTAAGTATCACCACGTTATCTTTTATTATCACTTTGACATATATGAAGCTTAACTGTTGATTTCAAGGAGAAATTGATCAAACTAGTACCTCTATCATAAAATAAAGTATCAAGGAAAAAAAATCAGCAAGGCCATAAAAGATCTGAACTAAATTAACAATATAAAAATAAGACTATGTACCAAAGTCACAAAGTAACCATCAACAAATTCCAAATAATCAACATTATATACATACAGATCGTGTTCTCTGGCCACAGTGCAATCAAATTAGGAACCAACAAAATAGAAGAATCATTTTTTTTAAAAAAACCAAGTAGATCCTGGATATATATTCACAAACATACAGCTATGAAGCCCATTCCTAGGATAATAACTACTGGGAAACTTTTGAAGTTAAACTCTGTATGGTATATTAGATGGCATTATTGTATAAATATTAAATTAAGTGTACCAATAGTATTGTAGTTATGTAAGAAAATATCCTACCTAGTTCCAGTGCTAGCATATTTAAAAATGAAGTATCATGATGTCTACAACTTACTTTATGATGACTTCAACAGATAGAGACAGAGATAAAGAGGGGAGGGTGGAGGAGAGAGAAATAACTGCAAATGTGGCAAATAGTATTAACAACTGGTAAACCTAGGTGAGTAATTTAAGGGTATCAACTGTGCTATTCCTCCCAATATTCAGTGGGCTGAAAACTAAACAGGAGTTCCATAATCATGGAATGTAGCTAAAATGGTTCCAGGGGTTGTACAGATGCAACACTACCGATCAAGAAAGAAACAAATCAAGTGAGTTGACTTCAACTTGAGAAGTTAGTAGGAAAAACAGTGAAAACTCAAGAAAGAAGAAAGAAGGAAGGGGAGAGGGTATACAGCTCAGTGGAAAAGCACATGCTTGCCATGCACGAGGGTCCTGCGTTCAATCCCCAGTAACTCCAGTTAAAAAAAAAAGGAAGAAAGAAGGAAAGATGGAAGAAAATAATTAAGATAGGAGCAGAAACTGAATGAAATAGAAAAACTAACAAAAACTATCTGAGCAACAAAACCAAAAGCTGGTTCTTTTGAAGGTATGAATAAGAGAATTCTAGCAATGCTGATTTTTTTAAAAAGAGGGAGAAAACACAGCAAAGGTACAAGTAATGTTACAAACGTAAAGGAAAGCATAAATTACAGATGCATTATGTTTTTAAGTCCTAAGAGAATTCTATTAACTTTATGAAAATATAATCAAAAGTAGACAACTTTAGAAATAGATATTATCTAAACAGACTTGGAAGAGATAGAAAGCTGGGGTAAAACTTTGGCCAATGTTATGTTTTAAAAAGCAAAGTTTAGTCCAAAGTCTCCCCTCCCCACCCCAAAAGACACCTACCTAGATAATTTCTATTTCATGTAAACTTTCAGAGAACAGAAAGGAAAAGCTATCTAGTTTATGTTATGAAGTTAGTATAAGCCTGATACCAAAACCAGAAAGGTTCTACAATAAAAGGAAATCAAAGATCAAAATTTATTATCAATTGTATCCATAAAAAATACTGAAAAGAATGGGCTGCAGGCTGTATCACTGTTGATTCACCCCTGATATTTAAACCAGGGATGGCGGGGGAAGGTATAGTTCAAGTGGTAGAGCACATGCTTAGCATGCACAAGGTCCTGGGTTCAATCCCCAGTACCTCCATTTAAAAAAAAAACTAATAATAAATAGACCTAATGACCTCCCCCCAATAAAAAATAAAATTAAAAATTAAAAAAAGGGACAAACCTCTGGATATCTAAAAACCAGCTATTAGTACACTTAACAGTAAAATGAGAAAAAATAAAAACAAACTTTCCTAATAAAATGGACACTGGACATTTAATCAACTGATTTTCCCACCTGTGGCCTGTTATACCATCTGGAAAAGAAAATAATTTTTCTGTCATGATCTGTTCTTCCAAAGCACACAACTGCTACCTAATATTTAATGATCTTTTAAGTTACTAAAATGGCATGGCTTGAACATGTCAAAGGGACCTCCAGTTTAACATGGCAGAACAAACCCATCCTACCTCTGCTTCTTCCCAAAGCTCCTCTAAAATAACAGTAAGAGGACAAGGGGGGATTAACTCACAATAATTTAAAGAATGGAAGCAATAACAAATTTTGAAGCTATAAAACAGGTGTCCAGTTGACTTAGCAGACCACACAAAAGCTGAGAATTCTGCTAACATTCTGCCAACGGAGGCAGTCCACTAGCAAACACTTCACACCGAAGAACTACAGAAAGGTTCGGGAATTAGTGACCCCAGGGATCCCCAAAAGAGGGCAGAGATTGAGCTGAAAACAGGAAAATGAGTTTAAAACACCACATTGAAAAGGGGGAATTAAGTGAAAGTCCACATGACACTCCCCATAGCTCTCCTTAACTTGAGAAGCTACTAAGACGCTGGCAGCCAGACTTGCATCCTCAATATAGGAGCTGACAATCAGTAATCATTGAGTTCATTACTCTAAAGTATGAGCAGACATTTAATAAAAACTATGACATTTCAGACAACTGTAACAGAGGCAAAAACAGAGAACACCCCCCAAAAAAGGAATTTAGAAGAAAAAGAGAAAAAGGAATGAAGAAAACATAATGGGAAAAAGACCACATATTCTCAGTGAGAAAATAGAAGATATTACATAAAGTATAAAAGAACAGGATACTATCTTTAAAAATTCAGAGAAGAAAATAGAGTTCTAAGATATGAAGTCTAACTTTTGAATGAGTTCTAGAAAATGAGAACAAAGAAAGAGAAGAAAATAAAAGAACATTAAAAATATTTTTCCAAATGGAAGGACATGGGTTTCTAGACTGAAAAAGCCCAGTAAGTCCCCAGGACAAAAGATGAAAGCGACCCATATGAAAGCACATCACTGTGAAATTTCAGAGACTGAGAATGGAGAGGAAATCCTAAAAGCTTTCAGAAGAAAAACCAAAACAAAAACCAGATCACACAAGATGAAACCAGAATGGCTTCAGTTAGTAGTAGTGGAACAATCTCTTCAAAATTCTGAGGAAATTATTAATTACAACCTAGCATTCTATACCATGGTAATTATATTAATTGCAAGGATAGAATAAAGATGTTTTCATATATGCAAGCCTCCAAAAGCATCAGTTTCCCCTTTAAAGGAAGCTCCTAGAGAATGTACCACATCAAAACATCCCCTTTGTAAGAAGGAAGATTTCTCCAGGAATTAAAAACTGATCTTCTGCATGTTGTTAAATCAAGAGAGCAGCTGTCAATTTAAGAAATACAAAAATGCTGAAGTGAATATTTTTACATGTGTGGCTAGATAATTGGTAAAAACTCATTAAGGAAGCAGAGGCATTGAAAACTGAGGGATTTTACTATGAAGTCTCATTAAGACCAGCTTTAAACTTTTGCAATAAGAGAATGTTTGGTTTCATTAAAGCCCTAAGCCTTCTTAAATGTACACACATTCCCAGCCACGGACATCTTGCACAGCAGAAGTGTAATCATCTACAAGCATCAGCACGGTAGCCTAGCAGCTAAGCACTGCTCTGGTCGGTAATGAAAAGTTTACATCCCACCTTTTAGAATTCACTATTGATTTCACCTTAAGGAGTCACATCAACGAGGAAATTTGTTACATATGGGAGAAGCTATACAACCGGCCCTCCACATCTAAAGGATTCAACCAGCCACGGATTGAAAATATTCAGGGAAAAAAAAATCAGAAAATTGAATTTGCCAAGCTCCAGCAACTATTTACATAGTATTTACATTGTATTTACAACTATTTACACAGCATTTACATTGTATTAGGTATTATAAGTAATCTAAAGATGACTTAAAACATACGGGATACACATAGGTTATATGAAAATATCATGCCATTTTATACAAGGGACTTGAGCATCTTCAGATTTTGGTATCCCTGGGGGGTATCCTAATCCCCCGTGGATACCAAGGGACGACTGTATATAAAACTTCCTTATTGTTTTATAAGTCATACAATCCTCTTTTGCTTACTTTACACTAACCTTATTTTAGAGTGATAACCTAATAAAAAGTAAATGTGAGAATAAGATTCTTTTATTTTCACCCAAAAATATCACTCCTGTTACCAGCGTCTTTCAGCTGCTGTGTTGGTTTTGCCATACTTTCTACAACAATAAAACCACAAGCCTTTTTTTTCACTGATAGAGAATTATAATCACCTAAAAGTTCTCTAACTGCCCATAAAAATCAACACCACTGTTTATTTTTATATTGGTTTTCATATTATGCTCTACCGTGTTCAGTATGTCTGGCCCCAAAAACCTTATCAGAAGGTTGCAGTGTTTGAACAATAAAAACATATTCATGAAAAAACAGCTTAAGACCATGCTTTTCGAAGAACACTTCAAAGTATAAATTAACATGCATTGTAAGAAATGTAAACAACCCAAAATAGGGCTTTTCTAAAGCACAGTGATGCTGCATCATTTGCTTTGTATACAGTGTGCCTGACCAACAAACATCATCTAGATGACAGCTTGAATCCAATGTACTATACTGCATTTTTTCACACAAGCTGTGGATCCATTTAACATTTGCTATCAGGAATGTAAGATTCCTATGAAAAGTAGAGTTAACATCTACCTAAAACTATGTTGTCTAAAACATGACTGCTATAGATGACGCATTAACTTAGAGCCAGACCAGCAGCGATTCCCAGAGTAAGCAAGGCAAAGGGTGATAAAAATGTAAGAACCTAACGGCTTTCTGCATCCTGTACTAATGCTGCAAGGAATCTAATCTGTTACTTCCTGCTCTCATCAATGACCTTTCCTGCCCGCCTTGTGTTCTAGACTATCAACAGTACTTATTACCACATCCCCATTCCCCGTTAACCCCATGCCACAAAGAAAAAGTACATACGCACCTTAAAATCTGTATTATTGATATATTCAAATACCAAAGCTGGTGTCTTTGACTGCAAGAGAGAATAGCAATGCTTTATAAGTATTCGAAAAATAAACAAATTTGCTTCTAACATATTGGCCCATTCCCAAACCCTACACAGATGAGAGATTCACTCATCAGGGAACGCCTATTAAGAAAGTATCCTCCTGAAATTTTTTGTTTGGAACTTGCTTCAAAATAACTGGGGATGGTGGGCGGTGGGGAAGTGGGTGGGGTGCAGATGAACAGCGCTGACCACAAGCTGATTAACTTGAGCTCAAGTTGGGTGATGTGTGCAGGGAGATTCATTGTATTATTCATTTTACTTTTTTAAATGGTTGAAATTTTTCATAATAAAGGTTTTGCTTTGTTTTTTAAAAGAGACATATCCTCTGACCAACTTGTTAGTGTGCCTGGCACATTATGTGAAGATTTATAGTCTGCAGTGCTCCAGTTTGCCAACCACAAAAAGAGTGATACATTTTCATCTTGGTTTAGTAAGCCAGATGCATTTCACAGAATTATCAGAGGTCTTGGGAATTTATCACAGGTCTTTTCAGGATCAAAAAAAATCTGTGATTATTATTAAGCTATAATGTGAAATTACTGCCTTGGCTAGAGACGATTAGCGAATGTCTCACTTTACAAAGATGCGTTCCTCAAAAACTCATGTAAAATCAAGTATTTTGAAAGCACTATGATCTTTAATGCAATAATAACAAAATGTTCAATATTTCCTTGTTTAAATACAGATTTTCAAATGTCAGGTTTACTTAAGTAAGGTAAAATAATGCTAATTGGCAGTGGAATAAGCTTTCAAAATTTAGAGAAAAGCAGGGGCTTAAAAGGTTATAGAAAGTAACAAAATCATCTTGGAAATCTTTATGGCTAGGAAAATTTTGCTCAAGGAAGCAGGTGAAAGTTACCTAGGAAATAGGCTACAATGCATGCATGCAGGTCTTTGCCAGAACAAGCAGCAGCCCTGGTCCAGGGATTCCTCACTAGCCCAACACTGAAAGGGTTTCATCAAGACCACCAGATCTGTCTACAGGCTGGGAGCAAGCCTGTTCCCGTACAAGTTATGGGACAGAGGCTCCCTGTTGGTTTCCATCCACTTCAATTTACTTGAATTACGTATCATGTAAAACACACACATGCTTTAAATAACAAATTACAAAAATAGTAAGACAGGAATCACTAAGTTCTAGGAACTTAAAAAAAAAGCAAAATGAAGATGTTCCAGGTATAAAACTACATACTGCTTCACAATGCAGTCCATTTTCAAATATTATATAGTTCAGAGTTAGTCATCACTGTAAAATCAATCTGAGCTTATAAGGCTGGGATATATTTTTAATGCCAACTAGACAATCTAGATTACAATCAACCTTCTCAATCTTGTCAGGATCCCAAAGGAAAAACTTTCCTTATTCTTCAGTTCAATGATACTGTGTAATCTTGGGCAAGTAACTTCTGCAGACTTCAGTTTTCTTATCCGTACAATGTGACAAGATGGACGATGATGGTACCTACCCCACCTGATTGTTGTGAGGATTAAACAATGTGATACAGTTAAACATTGAGAATAGTGCCTAGCACATAGTTTCAATGTATGTTAGCTACCACATTACAAGGATGTCTTTAGCAGATACAAACAAAAACCTATTTCTTAAACAAAAAGCTATCATGGGAGAACAGAGAAATATCTGAGGTAGAACAGGTGAAGAACAGAAATGGGATGGACATGCTATAAGCATGGTACCAAAAAACCCTCAGCTAATCATAAACACGTGAGGTTAAGTTCCTCCCCTCAGGGAGAGAAAACAAAATTAACAGCACATTTAAAATGGCTAAAAATCAAGCATTTTAACAAAAATATTTAAGTTACACCTGCAAATACAATGTGAGTCCTAAAGATGAATGCTGAATTAAAGACCACTATGAGAAATAGCAAGACAGCCTCCTCAACGGGTCTGTGGGGCTGTGGTCTGTTCAGCTCTCTATGGCCAAGGGTCCATGTGGAAACACTTCATATTTCCTTCTGTAAACCCAGATTTTCAAATGTCAGGCTTACTTAGTGAGGTAAAATAATGTTAATTGGCAGTAATAAGCTTTCAAAATTGGGGAAGAAGCAGGGGCGTAAAGAGATTCAGCAAACATTTGCGGACCATATCAAAATAATGAGGTAACAAACCTGCAACAGGAATTTTTTCTACTTGTGCTTTTAGGTTCCAAAAAAGTGGCGGCGGCTATTTTATCACTAGGCCACTATGATTTTTTCTGGTTTTCATAACCATTCAGTAGTAAAGACAAGCTCAATCATCCCCAGTAGATTATAATGATGTTTCTCATATCCTGAAATTCTGTGACACACTCACTCACTCACTCACTCTCAGAACCACCAGGCACCTACCACAGGGTCCTTCACAGTGTCAATCAGCTTAATGATATTTGTTCCACCACGAAGGTTCTCCAGAATCTTAACCTCTCGTTTTATCTTCTTTTTCTTCACTGGCTTAAATACATAAAAGTAATCAAAAGTGAGACTCCTTTTGAAGTTAATAAATAAAACTTTAAAACCTGTTTATATCAAATGGATACTGCATTATCTCACACTGCGTTATGCTAAAGGGCATGTCTAAATCAGAAGAGAAAAAAAAAAGAGATAAAAACGGGCCTGCCCATGAGAACTTTTAAGATTAAGTTAAATAATTCACAGACTCATATAGCTTATGTGTCAGATCTTTAAGTAGTTACATTTAGGGCACTTAAAATTTTTGAACACCCATGTCATACTTTAAAAATAAAATGCTTACTAGATAACTGCCAAATGGAAACTGTTATAGCTCTGAACAGCTGTCTATCATGCACTCACAAATAGAAAAACTGAAACAAAATGGTGAGACACCTGCTCTTACAATGAGTTGCATGTAATTTTGTCTTCTAGGAGGGAAGACCAGTTCACTGACATCAAGTTACAAACTTGTTTCCCAGCTGCTGGCTCCCATTTCCCGTCACCACTCCCATTTCCTTAACATCTAGAATCTGAAATCAGCACAAAGCCAGTAAAACTTCCCAACAGATCCCATTCCTACAGAAAAACATGATGGATCAGCAAAGGAGAAAACTGATCTCAGATACAGCAGTGATTGAAAACCTCTGCTACTTGCTAACCTCTTAACCTACTTGATAATAAAACTGAAGACCATAATGAGAAACAACAGCTTTGCACACATTATTTCTTCTCTTAAATGGGCTAAAGAATTTGCAGAAGAATAAAAGTAGTTCCAGAAAAGTAAGTATCACAATCAATTACATTTTATAAAGTATTTAAACAGTGACTGGCATTTAGTAGCAATCAATAAGTGCTAGCTTTATTATTTTCAAATTTTTAGTTAGTCATAAATCATATTTCGTCCTCATAAAATTTCTATGAAGACTCAGCCAAGTTGAGCTATTTGCCCAAGATCGCACAGTTAATAGTAAAGAGTGGAGGCAGGATTCAAATCTAGACAGTCTGACTCTGTTGGCCTCACTCAGCCACTGTGCTTTTACTTCCCAAGTGTGGCTTTGGGAGAAATGTAACTAAGGAAAAGGAGTATTCCATCACAGTGTTATACTAGCTATACTAGCACAGGCAAAAAGAGTTCAATGGATTGGCCATGAAGCAAGACTAAAAAAGCCTGTGTGTATGGTGCATGGTGGGGAGGGAAGGGGAGACGTAACATACACATATGCTTGAGAAACCATCATCTCTTGCTGGTCACCAAGCTACAGCTTTGAACACACAACAAAACAGAGATTATGAAACACAGAACACCTACATCACCTATAACAAGGTGCTCAACTGAAGCTCTGGAATCTAGCTGCATTCTTTTAAGCCAGCTGCCACAATCACGACCACTTCACTTTGTCAGGGTTCTCAGCGGAACAGACCTCACTACTGTGGTTCTTCCCTATCTTCACTTGGGAATTTTACTCCTTATTTTCCTTTTTCATAATTACAGAGCTCAGTACTTTGGGAAAAGAAAGCTCTTGAAAATGAAGTACAACTTGATCAGAAAACAGCCAGAGAAGGACATATCACAATATTTTAGTCGATAAGCTTCAAAAATGTCAATGTCCTGGGCTTGTACCCAGAAGGAAATCTACTTCAGGAC